GTGTAAAGATATTTTTGAAAAGGTCAGAAAGGCATGGATGATACCCAGAGCAATGCAAACGTTCCCAAATCTGAAACCTGAAACATTTCTGGTCTGAACAAAGCATTTCGGATAAGGGATAATTAACCTGTATTTGTTTTCTGAAATTTCTATAAATAGAATTTGAGATAAAAATATTTTTAAGAAATACTGAAAGACATGTAAACAAAAGGGTACTGGTAATCAAAAGAGACCTTACCTTGAAACATCACCATTGGTCTGCATTTCTTGAAAATCACACAGAGAGGTATCATCATTGCTTAAGTTTTCAATCATAGACATTTCATTATTATTTTGAGAAAGATCTTTAGTTTTTCCAAGATTCGCTAATGATGTAACCACACTGGCCAATGTACTTAAATCTCCCTGACATGATTCAGCCTTTAAAAAAAAGGGTATTAAAATTCTGTGAATTGGTATCAGCATATTTTTCAATCTGAAATATCCAATTATAGATTATGATATGCCAAAAGAAAAGAACAGTATGATAAATTATCCTGGAAAGTTAAAGGGCTCTGAGCTTTCAAAAATTTCTTGAGGAAAATACAAGTTTAAAAACATCAGGTGTCTGCCGGGCGCGGTGGCTCAAGCCTGTAATCCCAGCACTTTGGGAGGCTGAGGCGGGTGGATCATGAGGTCAAGAGATCGAGACCATCCTGGTCAACATGGTGAAACCCCGTCTCTACTAAAAATACAAAACATTAGCTGGGCATGGTGGCGCGTGCCTGTAATCCCAGCTACTCGGGATGCTGAGGCAGGAGAATTGCCTGGACCCTGGAGGCGGAGGTTGCGGTGAGCCGAGATCGCGCCATTGTACTCCAGCCTGGGTAACAAGAGTGAAACTCTGTCTCAAAAAAAAAACATCAGGTGCATTTCATAAGCAATGTTTATATGTTACTTTTTTTTTTTTTAATGGGACAAGATCTCTCTCTCTCATCCAGACTAGAGTACAGTGGCAGGAACACAGCTCACTGCACCCTCAAATTTCTGGGCTCACGTGATCCTCCTGCCTCAGCCTCCTGAGCAGCTAAGACTGCAAGTGTGCTCTGCTATACCTTGCTATTTTTTTTCATTTTTAGAGATGGGGTCTTGCTGTGTTGCCCAGGCTGGTCTTGAACTCCTGGCTTCAAGTGATCCTCCCTGCCTCAGCCTCCTGAGTACAATTTCTAAAACTTTCTATATAAACTATAAACTTGCATGGAATGTGAAGAATACTAGTGAAAAGTAGGGGAAATAGGGAAAATGAATAGTTGAACAGACTTCTTAGGATGCCAACTTTTGCCAGACACTGTGTTAATTAAATGTGTTAAAAGGCAATGTGTTAAACACAAAAATTAAAAAAAACAGATCAGTTATCCATTATTCTCTTCACTTTTTGTTACTGGAGTTGAAAATTCACTTTACATAGGTAAGACACTGATCTTTTGTTAAACATCACATACTTTCAATTTGTCTTTTTTTTTTTTCTTGAGACAGTTTCACCCTGTCACCCAGGCTGGAGTACAGTGGTGTGATCTCAGCTCACTGCAACCTCCACCTCCTGGGTTCGAGTAATCCGCCTACCTAAGCCTCCTCACTACAGGTGCATACCACCATGTCCAGCTAATTTCTGTAGTGTTTGTAGAGATGGGGTTTCATCATGTTGCCGCGGCTGGTCTAAACTCCTGGGCTCAAGTGAGCCACCGGCCACAGCCTCCCAAAGTACTGGGATTACAGACATGAGCCACCATGCCTGGCTTGTCTTCATTTTGTAATATTTGTTGAAAATGTATACATTATTTGTGCATTAGCTACAATTCTTTTTTTTTTTTTTAAGATGAGGTTTCACCATGATGGCCAGGCTGGTCTTGAACTCCCAACCTCAGGTGATCCACCCAGCTCGGCCTTCCAAGTGCTAGGATTACAGGGGTGAGCCACCGCACCCAGCCCTACAATTCTATTATAAAAAAGAATTTTCTCTCAACTCTTTCACAACCCAGAATTATAATTTGTATAGGAAAGGCAGGTACTTTATTTTTCTTTTAGTTACCAATTTTCAGAGCAAGAAGTTGATACCCTAGCCATTTCTAATTGTGATAAATGAGTTTTTCTGAGTAGAATTTTTAATTCATAGGTTTTCATCTATTTGATGTTTTATATATTTGATTTAAATTTATTTAATTCTTTTGTAAATCCTTTCCCATCCTAACCTAAGGAGAAGCCTTTTACGTTGCCTCCTATGGCCTACTGACACAACCCCTCAGTGATATCTTTTTGATTAATCGTTTCTTCACGGATTTTCTTTTCAGTGTTCGTAATCCTAAAATAACACATACATTCCCATGTTTCATTTATTGTAACAATTCTTCAATTTATGTAAGATTTATTTTGGTGAATCAGTAGAATAAAACAATGTTTGTGCTCTCTCCAAATTAATCAATGGTCCAAAAATAATTTACTGGAAACCCTACCAGTTACCAAGTTCTTACAGAATTAATACCTATATATGCATTTATGTAACCCCCATTAGACCCCTGTGAAACAGAAATCACCATTCCTCTATCACCAACCAGAAGAATGATCCAAATAGTAGAGGCAGGACTGTCTGATTGCAAAAGTCTATGCTTTTTTTTTTTTTTTTTTTTAAGAGACAGTGTTTTTTAGAGACACTTACTTCTATTGCCTAGATGGGAGTGCAGTGGCAGGATCATAGCTCACTGCAGCCTCGAACTCCTAGACTCAAGTAATCCTCTGTCTTAGCCTCCCAAATAGCTGGGACTACAGGCATGTACCACCATGCCTGGCTAATTTTATTATTTCTAGAGACAGGGTCTTGCTATTTCCCAGGTTGGTCTCAAATTCCTAGCCTGAAGGAACTCTTCAACTTCAGCCTCCCAAGTTGCTGGGATAGACTTGAGCCACTGTGCCCAGAAAAGCCCACAATGTTAAGCTCCGCTCCAAGCAGTTTTCTTATATTTGAATAAAAAGTACGTCAGTTACAATTTTTAAATGCTTTACTAGTCACCTAAAACTTAGAAGTTTATATATTCTCTTCTATCTAGCAACATATCTAACTAGATTCTTAAGTTTTTGCCCCAAAGAAGAAGTTCTTAGCCAACATGGAAAAATTTCATCTTGTGACTTCACAGTTTTGGGGCCATTTGTCAGAGAAGCTTACATAAGGTTGTCATAACAATTTAATACAAAGATACGTAAGAGAGCACAGTGTCTGGGCAGAGTAGTTTGTCAACGAAACCTAGTTCCCTTCCTTCCCTAAAGGAGTTAATATGTCAATAAAACCAATTATCATTCTAACCTTGAATCATGTAAACAAGGCTAATCATGTAGACAGGGCTAAGTTTTCCAAAATACATGGCAAGAGGCCAAATGCCTCACCTAGCAATTATATGCTAACACCCAATCTGTAAGATACATACTCTTTTTTATTTTTTAAAGACGGGGTTTCACCATGTTGGTCAGGCTGGTCTTGAACTCCCCACCTCAGGTGATCCGCCCACCTTGGCCTCCAAAGTGCTTGGATTACAGGCGTGAGCCACCACGCCCAGCCAAGAGATACTCTTATTACTCTTATTTTATAGATGAGAAAGTGAGGCACTGAGAGGTCAAATAACTTCCCTAATGTTATATAGCTAGTAAGTGATAGATGAAATTTGATTTCAGAGCCCAAGTATTTAGAGTGCCTTAAAGCATCAAGTGACAAATATATAACAAATCTTCCAATAAACAGGACAAATAATCTTGTAGGTTATGTGAAACCAGATCCCGGCTAGGCAGAGTGGCTCATGCCCATAACCCCAGCAATCTGGGAGGCTGAGGTGGGAGGATCACTTGAGCCCAGGAGTTCGAGACCAGCTGGTAATACAATGAGACTTGGGTCTCTATAAAAATAGAAAAAATTAGCCAGGCACGGTGGCACGTGCCTGCAGTCCTAGCTTCTTGGGAGACTTAGGTGAGAGGATCACTGGAGCCTGAGAGGATAAGGCTGCAGTTAGCCATGATTATGCCACCACCACATCCCCAGCTTGGGTGACAGAGGAGACCCTGTTTCAAAAATAAACAAAAACCCCATCACAGGCTGAAATAAACCCTGACTGCAGGCTTCCTAAAATCTGTTTTCAGATATAAGTTTTCAGGATAAATTTTTGCTTCTTGTTCTTATAAAGTGTTTCTGAAAAGTACAGAAACTCTACATGTTCAATCCAAATAAACAAACAGTTTTTCCTTTAGACCACTGGTCTAACTTAAAGCTGCTCCAATCCCTAAGAGAACTGGATGACCTGAAAAAAATAACAGGAGAGTTCTTGAAGTCCTATTCCTACTCTTGACTCAAGAAAATATTTTGATGGAGGCATGCTAGGAATTTATTTTTACCTGAAATATTTTAAGTATTTTAGCACTAACATATCTATAAGGGAACATAAAATAAATACTAAGAATTTTATACCTATAAATGTCTTTTACTGAGGGCTTCTATTTCAAGATGAGGGAAGAGTATGTGTTTGTTGCTTTCATGTTGAAGTGATAATCATCCTAGTGAAACTATGAACATTTCTAATTTTTTTTTTTTTTTTGAGGCAGAGTTTCCCTCTTGTTGCCCAGGCTGGAGTGCAATGGTGCAGTCTCGGCTCACTGCACCCTCTACTTCCCGGTTCAAGGTTATCCTGCCTGAGTAGCTGGTATTACGGACATGCACCACCACACCCAGCTGATTTTTTCTGTTTTTAGTAGAAACAGGGTTTCTCCATGTTGGTCAGGCTGGTCTCAAACTCTGACCTCAGTTGATCCACCTGCTTCGGCCTCCCAAAGTGCTGGGATTACAGGCGTGAGCCACCATGCTTGGCTGAGCATTTCTAGTTTATGTTAAAAATTCCACATTACAAGGTTTGTTTTTTTTTTTTTTAAGAACAAAGCAATTGACCAAAGCAATGGAAGCAATTAGGAAAACATTTTAAAAAGCTTAAAAATATCAAAGCTTTAAATTGTACTAAACACACCTTATCTGACGTCATCAGCACAGTCGACTCAGTTTTTACTCCAGACGGATGAATATTCACAAACATTCCTGAATCTAACAATCCTGTTGACCTATGACAAATAAGCACAAATTTTAACCTGAGTTTCATTGGGAAGAAAAACAAAATGACCAGCTACTCAGTGTCTGTTTTACTTTACCTTGTAGTTTCACTATCTGTTACAAAAGTTGGAGTTGCAGTTAATGGGCTACGAAGGTCTTTTCGGATATAGATTTTTTCTGTTGAAGCGGCACAGTTGGAAGATTTTTCTCGTGATACTTCAATGGGTTTTCTTTCACATTGGACAGCTACAAAAATGTGTTAAACTATTATATCACAATATAGGATTTATAGACAATTATAAATGTAAGCTGTAGGTATGCTAATAGGAGACATGCCTATCATACTAAACTCCAAAGATAACCATCAATCTCTAGAAATTATGTGCAAGTTCAACAAAGTTGCTTTAGATTAGTAAAACTAGCTGGCTTGCATCACTTATTCTCCATTCTCTCCCTGCTCCCCATTCCTGTGATAGAAATGTAAACGAACTCTTATTTTTTAAAAGTTCACCTTCAAGAAGAAAGAACTAAAGTTAGGAGTCACTTACCTATCTACATGAGTGCTTTAAAAAAATGAAGTGAAATTTAATCCATTGAAACTAATACTGAAAGGAACAAAAAAGCCTAAGGTAGATCTTTTATTAACTAAGGACAGGAGATTTTTGAGAAGTAATTCAACTACTTGGTCTTTCTTTATAAAATACAATTAATATGTAATATTTATAAGAATTTTATCTCATAATATTTAGGAGATAGTATAGTAAGGTTGTTAAACTGCCAGGATTCAAAGCCAGCTTATGCCACTTATTAGTTATATGACCTTGAGCAGATTTCTCAACCTCTGTTTACTCAAATGTAAAATGGGTAACACAGTATTTACTGCAGAGAATCGCTGTGAGAGTAAGTTAACACGCATGATAAGTACAGTGTCTAGCGTAGTGAGAGCTCAATGGATACTAGCTATTGTCATTATCTTACTAATCTTTAGTAGTTAAATCAAAAAGTAAACTGGTATCTGAAGCTAGTTAAGCTTTTTGCCAAACACAAACTACAAATACATGCTTGTTACACAGGCATTCAATAAATATTAGTTGAATAAAAAATACATACATATTTATGTATTATATTTTTAGTTGGAAAACTAAACTAAAAAGTATACATATTTGACATATTTTAACTTGTTAATTTGAATACTCTTCCAGTTTGCTGGAATCCTTAAAAAGTATTTTCTGCTTAAAAGCTAATACATACAGTCTTGTTTCATTCCAAACGCAATACATCTCTGTAACCTGCAGTATTGGCAGCGGTTTCGGTGATGTTTATTAATAATACAATCCTTTGATCCTCGACATGAATATACTAAATTTTTTCGGATGCTTCTTTTAAAAAATCCTTTGCAGCCTTCACAAGTTACTGCTCCATAATGACGTCCTAGAGATAAAATGTTTAAGAAAATATAAATCATGTTACTTCAGAACAGAAATGAAATAAGCCAACTGCTCCCCTTTAAACCACATGGGATGAAACTGATTTTTGAGCTTCTGACATGAAAAACATTTTTAGAAGTTATTTTTATTTATTGTAATTATTTTAGAGATGCTCTGCGGCCCAGACTGAAGTGCAATGCTACGATCACAGTCCAGTGCAGCTTTGAACTACTGGACTTAAGGGATTTCCCCAAGTAGCTGGGACCACAGGCTTATGCCACCACGCCCGACCAGTTTTTTTATTTAACTTTTTTTAGAGACAGTCTTGCCATCTTGCCCAGGTTAGTCTCCATCCTGGGCTTAAGCCATCCTTCTTGCCTTGGCCTCCCAAAGAGAGGTTACTAAATAGAGAATGAAACAAGCATATTCTCTAATAAAAAATATATGAATTATTAATTTTTTTTTTAGAGATGGGGTCTTGCTCTGTCACCTAGGCTATAGTGCAGTGGCATGATCAAAGCTCCCTAAATCCTTGAATTCCTGGGCTCAAGTGATCCTCTTGCCTCAGCCTCCTAGTGGCTAACAGTGCCATCACTACTGGCTGATATTTTTTGTTTAAGAGACAGGATCTCTTTATGTTACCCAGGCAGATTTCAAACTCCTGGCCTGAAGTGATCCTTTTGCCTCCATTCCCAAAGTGCTGGGATTACAGGAATGAGCTACCTTGCCTGGCCTAATGTAATGTATTATTAGGGATCAGAACCCATCATTTTTAAATGATTCCTTTGCCAAAACTTCTAGTTTTCACATTAAAAAAATCTTTCTACAGATGGGCGTAATCCAGCCTGTAATCCAACACTTTGGGAGGACGAGGCAGGTGAATCACTTGAAGTCAGGAGTTCAACACCAGCCTTGCCAGTATGGCGAAAGCCCGTCTCTACTAAAAATATAAAAATTACCTGGGTGTGGTGGCACACACCTGTAGTCCCAGCTACTCCGGAGGCTGAGGCAGGAGAATTGCTTGAACCCAGGAGGCAGAGGTTGCAGTGAGCCGAGATTGCACCACTGCACTCCAGTTGGGGCAACAGAGTGAGATTCTATCTCAAAAAAAAAATTTTGTTTTTTACATGTTCACTTTCAAAAGTGAAATACACATTTTATTTCTTTACAAATCAAATTAAACTGCACTGAAGTAAAGAAAATAAGTGAATAAAGAACTCTGGGACCGAGCATGGTGGCTCACACCTGTAATCCCAGCACTTTGGGAGGCCAAGGAAGGGTGGGTGGATCATCTGAGGCCAGGAGTTTGAGACCAGCCTGGCCAACATGGTGAAACCCCATATCTAATAAAAATACAAAAGTCAGCCAGGCATGGTGGCACACACCTGTAGTCCCAGCTACTTGGGAGGCCAAGGCAGGAGAATTGCTTGAATCCAGGAGGCAGAGGCTGCAGTGAGCTGAGATCATGAAACTGCACTCCAGCTGGAACAACAGAGTGAGACTCCGTATCAAAATAAAAAGAACTTTGGGGAAAAAATTAGTTAAATTTTAAAGGCTACAAATGTGAACCATAAAAATGACATACTCCTTTATTTTTCTCCTATTTATTTAGTTTTTATTTGTTTATTTTTTTAAAGACGGGGTTTCACCATGTTGGTCAGGCTGGTCTTGAACTCCCAACCTCAGGTGATCCACCTGCCTTGGCCTCCAAAGTGCTTGGATTACAGGTGTGAGCCACCACGCCCGGCCTTTTTTTTTTCTTCTTCTTTCTTTTAGTAGAAGAAACATGGTAGTGTGGTAGCTATTTTAACAACACGACACATAAAGGAGGTTATTTTTCTTTTTTTATTTTTAAGAGGTTATTTTTAATGTTACCTGATGCTTTGTCTCCACATACTACGCAAAGATCAAAAATCTTATTTGGTCCCTGGTCTGGAGAAGAATTATCTGTTAGGAGCTTAAAAAAACAAAAAACAAAAAACCTGTTGTTACTCAACAGCACTCATTCTATTAAAAAATTAAAGAACATTCAGTTGGTTTTGCTTTGTTGCTTTTTCACAAGTTATTCTTTTTTTTTTTTTCTTGGTGCCGTGACTCAGGTATGAATCACAAGTTACTCTTAAACTCTGAACTCTATGAAGAGCTCAGAACCTTTCCACAAGGAATGACATGACAAAAAATATGCTTGTAATAGCATAAAAAGATAACTGAACTTTTTAAATAGAAATGGGGCTATAAATAAACTCCCTTGAGGTAATTATATAATCATGCTGATATAGTTGCTATACAAAGGTACAGACTTAAAAAGCTCATCACTAGGCGCAGCTAATAAGATAGTAGCAAAGGAAACTAGTTTCTTCTTTAAAAAACGAACAAAAGCTGGGCACGGTGGCTTACGCCTGTAATCCCAGCACTTTGGGAGGCCAAAGCTGGCGGATCACCTGAGGTCAGGAGTTTGAGACCAGCCTGGTCAATGTGGTGAAACCCCATCTCTACTAAAAATACAAAAAATTAGCCGGCTGTGGTGGTGGGCACCTGTAATCCAAGTTACTTGGGAGGCTAATGCAGGAGGATCCTTGAACCTGGGAGGCAGAGGTTGCAGTGAGCCGAGATCACACCACTGCACTCCAGCCTGGGTTACAGAGCAAGATACCATCTCAAAATTAAAAAAAAAATAAAAAAAGCTGGATGTGGTGGTGCATGCCTGTAGTCCCAGCTACTCTGGCGGCTGAGGCAGGAAAACTGCCTGAACCCAGGAAGTGGAGGTTGCAGTGAGCTGAGATTGCACCACTGCACTCCGGCCTGAGTGAGACTCCATCTCAGAGAAAAAAAAAAAAAAAAAGGCCAGGCTTGGTGGCTCGCGCCTATAATCCCAGCACTATGGAAGGCTGAGGTGGGTGGATCACAAGGTCAGGAGATCCAGATCATCCTGGCTTAGATGGTGAAACCCTGTCAAAATGAGCTGGACATGGTGGCACGTGCCTGTAGTCCCAGCTACTCAGGAGGCCAAGGCAGGAGAATCATTTGAACCTGGGTAGCAGAGGTTGCAGTGAGCCGAGATTGTGCCACTGCACTCCAGCCTGGGCAACAGAGTGAAACTCCGTCTCAAAAAAAAAAAAAAAAAAAAAAAAAGCTAACTAGTTTCTTTCTTTCAACTTTTTCTTTCAATTTTGAAATGTGAACAAATAAATTCAATTTTAAAAAATGGTAAGGCATTTGAATTCCTTCAGGAGTAATTCTGATTTTACAAACTTTAAATGGTTCTTAAAATGATTACCCCTTACTATGTAATATATTGCATCATTTTTTCTTACATCACCACAACAATCAGTCATCAGTAAGTACTTAATCAAAACAAAAACTTTTGGTAGTAGATGTCCTATGAAAGCATCTATGGCAAGTATTACACTTTTCTTTAATAGCCTACCTGTTGCAAATCTTGCTAACCTTTTATCTATTTTTCCTAAGGCTGGAAGGAGATGAGAGATTGAGGGATTTGCCCACATTCCATGTCATTAGACCAGAAATCAGCTTTTGACCTAAGGGAATTCCAACCTATACCTGTTTCTCTTTCACTGCTTTTAGAGATGATCCATAAGTAGGCAAAGTGCCAATATTATCTTCATTTTTAAAATACGGAATTTTTTTTAAAGAAGGAGTGACTTTGCAATGGAGAAACCTGACAAATACTACCTCAGTCGGGTGACAGAAGTCAACCTCATCAGTCATAAATCATGTTGATAGTATCTTTTATATAATGTGACAAAATGGCACTTAACTTCTGTAATCTTCCTCCCAGATAAAGTCCATTCATGGGGCATCCTACAATATACCTGGCTAGTACTCCTCACACAACTGTCAAGGTCTTCAAAAACAAGGAAAGTGAGAACTGGTCTAACCAAGAGAAGCCAAAGGAGACAGGACAACTCAATGTGATAAGGTATCCTGAATGGGATCCTGGAACAAAAAGGGCCATTAGGCAAAAACCAAGGAATGTCTAACCACCTATAAGCTTCAGTTAATAATGTATCAATATTCCTCATTAATTGTAATAAATAGGTCATGTGAATATAAAATGTTAATAAGGGAAACTGTATTTACTGGGGGGTAATATGGGAACTCTGTACTATATGCTCAGTTTTTCTGCAAATCTAAAACTATTCTAAAAAATCAAGTCTACTAATTTAAGAAAAAGAAATTAAGGTACATATAATGTTATAAATTTTTTTGTGTGACTTCTGTCTTGTTGATAAAATGAATTCTTATAAATCTATGGCCCTATCTACTTTCTACCTTTATTTCCAAAACCAATACAAATAATATCAATGGATGAATAGATGATATCAGGATATGTAGGCAAATTTTCATGTTTTATGAATTCAGAGTTTTTCAATCCAAAGAAGAATTTTCTTTCATTTTTCATCATAAAATGTGAAACCCAATTTTAAGCAGATCCCCTTCAGAAAGTCTCTAAAAGCAAACTTCAGAGTATATCATATTTGTATCCAATCATAGCAACCAGCAGTGAAAACATCTACATAACCACAGGCATGTGGTATATAAAACTTTTTGGGTCTTTGAAGAATAATGTATAATTTTCTATTGTAGCAAAAAGTAAAATGGTGTAATGTTAACCTATACTACCACGTTCCAGAGTAAAGCAGGAGACCATGACTAGATTGCTTGCCATGTCACGGAGATACGCATGACAACAAAGGAAGGACAATGCTGAAGCCAGCAGCTATAGTCCAAACTTCTTTTTTTTTTTTTTTTTTTTTTGACGGAGTTTCGCTCATGTTACCCAGGCTGGAGTACAATGGCGCGATCTCGGCTCACCGCAACCTCCGCCTCCTGGGTTCAGGCAATTCTCCTGCCCCAGCCTCCTGAGTCGCTGGGATTACAGGCAAGCACCACCATGCCCAGCTAATTTTTTGTATTTTTAGTAGAGACGGGGTTTCACCATGTTGACCAGGATGGTCTCGATCTCTTGACCTCGTGATCCACCCGCCTCGGCCTCCCAAAGTGCTGGGATTACAGGCTTGAGCCACCACGCCCGCCCCAGTCCAAACTTCTTGATCTGGCAGCTTCCTGTTTTTGCCACAGGCAGCTTGCTTCTGGAAAATACAGCTACAAAAGCTGCTCCTGACTTGACCATTTCCTAATTATGCAGAAGCAGCAGGAGGTCTCTTAGAAGCGAATTTTTGCAGCATGCTCCAGCATTCTTGAAAACCTGGCCTAGAACTGTTTCTTCAGCCTTCCTAACAATTCTGCAAGCTCTCTATATATTTTATTAAAGGCCTTCCTAGTTACATCAGCCAGAGTGGATCTTACTGCATGCAACAAAGAATCCCCCAAAATATATGAGTGTGAGGAAAGTACAGTGGCCCACAGGAGAGGGCTGTCACTGTAGACACTCTGTGCTACACACAGTTTTATGCATTTTTTTTCCTACTGAATATACATATATCCAAAGTATTCATGGCAGGACATATCCTTAAAACAATTTCTTTAAAAAAATTGTTTTTTTTTTTAAAGAAATTATTTTAAGCGTAAGACACTTAAGACACTTGTAAGAGAAAAAGACACTTGTTACCTGCAGGTGTTGTGCAGACAGATCAGGAGTGGTAAAAAATAACTGGTTGACACCTGCTGGATCTGGAGTTGTGAGGAAAACTTTTCCTGGAGCGGCATCTTGCCTGGCCAGAATGACTTTGCTTGGAGAAGAGCCATCATGATTTGTAAGAATGAACTGCTTGCCTTGGGTATTATGATCAAGTGCTGTCACAATCTGGATTTTCTGCCCAGTTTGCTGCTCTGTAACAATCTAACAAAATTATAAAAAATAAATAATGAATTCAAATCAATCATTTGTTTTTCTCTAATGACACAATTAACTTCTATCTTCAAAGACAGAAAAGCACATCATTACATATATAGTCAATGTAACACACAGGTATACCTTTTTTTTTTTAAATCTTTTTATTTACAGACTACAGCAGAACATACACATACCTTTTAAACTACCAATTCTACTGCCACAAAATTCTATCCTATGGAAATAAACAAATGTGCAAACAAACAAAGGTACAAGAGTAAGAACATTTTGACCTATTTTGATTCCCTCCTTCCCCTTCCCTCCTACATTCCATTTAGCCAAATATATATTGGTGATTTCCATTGGCTGTTCTGCATCCTGCGATGTAGCAGTGAATAAAACACAATTTTTGCCTTCATGAAGCTTTTATTTTAGTGGAAAAGGATAGTAAATAGGGAAACAATAATATTGTCAGGTGGTACTAAGTGCTATGAAGAAAAACAAAGTAAGGTGAGACGGTATCAGAATGAGGGCAATGAGGGAAGATCACTCTAAGGAGGTATCGTTTTTGCAAAGACGTGAGTGGAAACAGACCAAGGCTTAGGACTACCTAGGGGAAGAACATTCCAAGTAGAAGAAACAGAGCATAAAAGTAGGTCCCAGGGCAGGAGAGAGGGTATTTGACACGTGAGGCACAAAGCACAGCAATAGAGCAGTATGAGGAAGAAAGAAGGGAAGATAGGAATTATAGTGGATGGGATCTGAGTGACAGCTGGGACTTAGAGGGCTTTGTAGGCCATACAAAAGTTTAGATTTCCTACTGTGTGAAATGGAGAGCCACCAGAGGGTTGGGAGCAGAGGAATGACAGGATTTTACTGTTTAAACAAGAATCAGCCAGACACAGTAGCATGTATCTATAATCCCAGCTACTTAGGAGGCTGAGGCAGGAGGATCACTTGAGGCCAGGAGTTCAAGACTAGCCTCGGCAACACAGTGAGATCCTGTTTAAAAAAAAAAAAGTGTAGGTCGGGTGTGGTGGCTCACGCCTGTAATCCCAGCACTTTGGGAGGCCCAGGTGGGTGGATCAATTGAGGTCAGGAGTTCGAAACCAGCCTGTCCAACATGGCAAAACCCCGTCTCTACTAAAAACACAAAAAATTAGCCGGGCATGGTGGTGCATGCCTGAAATCCCAGCTACTCAGGAGGCTGAGGCAGGAGAATCGCTTGAACCTGGGAGGCGGAGGCTGTAGTGAGCCAAGATGGTGCCACTGAACTCCAGCCTGGGCAACAAGAGCAAA